GGATTACAGGCGTCCACCACTGTGCCTGGCTAATTGTTTGTATTCTTAGTAGAGACAGGGTTTCAACATGTTAGCCAGGCTGGTCTCGAACTCCTGACCTCAGGTGATCCACCTGCCTCAGCCTCCCAAAGTGCTGGGATTACAGGCGTGAGCCACTGCGCCTGGCCTATTGGTCTGTTTTCACACTGCTGATAAAGACATACCCGAGACTGGGAAGAAAAAGAGGTTAATTGGACTTACAGTTCCACATGGCTGGGGAGGCCTCAGAATCATGGCGTAAGGTGAAAGGCACTGCTCACATGGCAGTGGCAAGAGAAAACAAGGAAGAAGCAAAAGCAGAAACCCCTGATAAGCCCATCAGATCTCATGAGACTTATTCACTATCACAAGAATAGCACGGGAAAGACTGGCCCCCATGATTCAATTACCTCCTCCTAGGTCCCTCCCACAACACATGGGGATTCTGGGAGATACAATTCAAGTTGAGATTTGGGTGGGGACACAGCCAAACCATATCAGTGGCCAAGGGCTTGGGAGGTTGGGTGTGCACTGAGTCCAAGGGTGACTTCCCACCCCACCATCTGACCTCTCTGAACTTCAGTTTCCTCATCTGCAAAATACAGCCAATAGCACTCTCATCTGTCTGTATTAGTCAAGGTTCTCCAGAGAAACAGAACCAATAGGACAGAGAGAGAGATTTATTCTGAGGAGTTGTTCATGCAATTATGGAGGCTAAGTCCCAAGATGGGCAGTCAGCAAGCTAGAGACCCAGGGGAACCGACAGACAGCTCTGGTCTGAGTTAGAGCCTACGGATCTCCAAACGTTAAGTGCCAGTCTGAAAGCCAGCAGGCTACAGGCCCAAGAAGAATCGATGTTTTAGTCTCAGTCCAAAGGCAGGAAAAGAACAGTGTCCCAGCTCCAGCAGCCAGGCAGGAGGAGCCCTTTCATGCCAGATTTTTTGTTCTATCTGGGTCTTCAAAAGACATCCACATAGACTTCAACTGACTGGATGCAGCCCACGCCCATCAGGGAGGGCCACCTGCCTCGCTTGGCCCACCCGCTCAAATGCGGACCTCACTCAGCAATGCCCTCAGAGACACATCCAGGTAACACTCCACCAAATATGGCACCCTTGGCCCAGTCAAGGTGATGCATAAAATTAACCATCTCACCATGTCATTTGGTTGTTGTCAGGAGTCAATGAAATAAAGCATTTGAATGGTTAAAGAAGTATGCAAGATGTGTACCTATTACCACCGTCATCATTGTAACAGCAGGATATGGGTACATCCGATTCCCAACATTGCTAAAGCCATGACGTGGCGATTGGGATGAGCTAAAGTATGAGAATTGTCTTCTCCATGAGTTGTCAGAAGAACAAACAGTGGCCAGGCATGGTGGCTCACGCCTGTAATCCCAGAACTTTGGGAGGCTGAGGGTGGGAAGATCACTTGCACCCAGGACTTTGAGAACAGCCTGGGCAACAAAGGGAGACCTCATCTCTACAAAAATCAACAAAAGTAACTGGTCATGGTGGTGCACATGTATAGTCCCAGCTACTCGGGAGGCTGAGGTGGGAGGATCACTTGATCCCAGGAAGTTGAGGCTACAGTGAGCCATGTTCATACCACTGCACTCCAGCCTGGGCAACAAAGCTTGAGGACCTGTCTCAAAAAAAAAAAAAAAAAAAAGAGGCCGGGCATGGTGGCTCACACCTGTAAATCCAGCACATTGGGAGGCCAAGGCAGGCGGATCATCTGAGGTCAGGAGTTCAAGACCAGCCTGACCAACATGGTGAAACCCTGTCTCTATTAAAAATACAAAAATTAGCCAGGCTCGGTGGCGCATGCCTGTAATCCCAGCTACTCGGGAGGCTAAGGCAGGAGAATCACTTGAACCTGGGAGGCAGAGGTTGCAGTAACCAAGATCGAGCCATTGCACTCCAGCCTGGGCAACAGAGCAAAACTCCATCTCAAAAAACAACAACAACAAAGGGGTGAAAGGGCATGGGTCCCTGGTCAGGTCAACACCATCACCTCCCAGAGCACTCGCCTGCCCAGTCCTGGGGCAGAGTGTCCCTGAGTCCTAGTTTAATTGTCCATACCGCTGTGCCTCCTCCACCTCTAATCTAACCTGCTGCCAGACAGCACCTGCATGTCAGCACACCCACATCCCCACTCATCCATGCAAGCTCCTCCCAACTGTCCTCGAGATGAAAGTGCCACTTGTCAAAGGTGCACCAGGTGCCGGCCTCTGAGTGGGTGCTTCATTGCCTCTGTTATTTCATTTAACTATCATGCATCATGACAAATAAATGATTTGAAGAGTCTCTTAGGGAGGGTGCTGTTGAAGAAAACATACTCTGCTGCCCAGGTGACAGGAAGTGAGGACCTGAGAGCAGGTTTAGAGGACCTGAGACAGAGAAGCTGTCTCAAAAGACATGGGCAGGAACTAGGGGTTGAGGGAGCCGAGACAGGACCGACCCTACAGCAAAGGGAGGTGGGAGGCCCAGGCCCGTCCTACCTTCCCAGGACTTAGCTTAATCCCAGAACTCTGGAGGAATTCTGCAGGGGTCTTGAGGTGATGCCTTCCCAAGGGTCTGGTCACCTGGGAAGGTGGCTGCTGGAAGAGCTTCAGAGTCGAGCCCAGGAATCTGCATTTTAACACACTTCCAACATCATGTTTGGGAACCACTGCTCCACCTCTCATGAGGAGGAAACTGAGGCCCGTAAAAGGAAAGAGACTTGGAATGAAGGAACCCCAGACCTGAAGGGCCTCCGAGCTCACCCAGCCCCAGCCCCAGCTCACTCTCAAACAAGATGTATTTGTAGCAGCAGTTTCTGCTCAGTCCCCTCTGTGACAGCGATGTCAAACCTCCCAGAAGTGCGTCTCAGAAACAGCTCACTTCATGGTAGCAGATGAACTCACTCCTGGGCTTTGCTATTCTTCAAAGACTAACAGCCTTAGAAGAAATCATGGCAGGGCTGGCCACAGGCCAGCTGGGAGCTAGGCAGAATCTGACTTTGGCCCTAGCCTCTCTGTGATCTTTTCTGTTACTGTGGAGGGATTTCCATGAGTCAGAGCCCTGAGTTCAAATGCCAGGTCTGCTGTGTGACCCTGGCAGGTTGCTCACCCTCTCTGAGCCTTCCTTTTCCAACAGGTATGATAGAAATATGACCTACCTTATGGGCTGGTGTGATAAGGAAATGGCTTAACAAACAAATGAGATGCCCGCAACCCCCAAAAGTCCCTTCTTGTCCCCTTTCAACATGTCTCCTCCCCTTCCCCAGTCTCAGAGGCCTGTAGCACCCCCTCCTCCAGCCTTGATTGCTCTCGGGGACTGCTGTGTGGATTGCTTGGACGGTGTGGACTACAATCTTCTGAGCGGCTCCCTCCCCAGGCACTTCCGCATTCCTGATCCGCCTTTTCCCTGAGCTTCCGAAGACTTTCTCCCAGGAAGAAGCACAGCTGAACTAAGCATGAACAACCTCAAGGAGGGGGTGAGCACAGCCCTTCACAGTTTGCAGAGCCTCTGGCCCCACCCTCTCATCCGTCCTCTCAGCACAGGGGCAGGTCAGGGTGATGAAGCAGGAGCCAGTCCCACAGATCTGGGGATGCTCACCCAGCCAGGTACCCACTTCCCACCCTGACCCCCACCAGCCTCCACCTCCCACCACTCTAAGGAGCTCCCGCTGCTCCTTTAGGACGCTGGGGCATCACTCCTCCTTAGGGGCCAGCCTTCCGCCTTGGTGGGTGGGGCAGAGACTGAGGCTGCAGGCACCAGCCTTACCCCTGACGGAGGGGGTGCCCTCAGCCCTGGGCTGTCTCCAGCCTCCCTCCAAGACCCACGAGGTGTACAGAGCTGTAAGTGTTACAGGAAAGGGGTCCCGATCCAGACCCCAGGAGAGGGTTCTTGGATCTCACGCAAGAAAGAATTCAGGGCGAGTCCGTAAAGTGAAATCAAGTTTATTAGGAAAGGAAAGGAATAAAGAATGACTACTCCATAGACAGAACAGCCCCAAGGGCTGCTGGTTGCACATTTTTCTGGTTATTTCTTGATGATATGCTAAACAAGGGGTGGATTATTCATGCCTACCCTTTTTAGACCATATAGGGCAACTTCCTGACAAAGCTGTGGCATTTGTAAACTGTCATGGCGCTGGTGGGAGTGTAGCAGTGAGGATGACCAGAGGTCACTCTCATGCCCATCTAGGTTTTCGTGGGTTTTGACCGGCTTCTTTACTGCAACCTGTTTTATCAGCAAGGTCATTATGACCTGTATCTTGTGCTGACCTCCTATCTCATCCCGTGACTTAGAATGCCTTCACCATCTGGGCATGCAGCCCAGTAGGTCTCAGCCTCATTTTACCCAGCTCCTACTCAAGATGGAGTTGCTCTGGTTTACATGCCTCTGACATAAGCATGTGTGCCCACTTCGACCAAATCCATGAGGGGCACCTGCACCACCTAGCCCTGCCAGCCATTGGCCTGCTCCCACGGTGGGTCCAGAAGCCCCCAGAAGCCCCTGCGCTCTTCCTCTCTTCACCTGCTTCCCACTCACACACGCCCTGTGCTGCAGCCACAGGCACCCCGTCCAGATCCCTCCCCCATCTCCATACCTTCGCCCATGCTGCTCCCCCTGCCTGGCATGCTGGCACCCCCATCCCACCCCCACCCCAACCCAGCCACCTGCAAACTCCTCCAAGTTCAAGCTCAAGCCTTTATCCCTCTAGGAAGCTTCCCTGAGAGGCTCAGACAGAAAAGATGCAGCCAACTTACTATTCAGTGAGCTTACTCTCTCCCTATCAGGGAAATGAGGGAGCCCTGTCACTGAGACCCTACGATCCTGCCCGGCAGAGCTGCCACTCTCCACCCCACTGTGGCACTCACACTGAGGACAGGGTCATACACCTGGTTATTACGACTTCATGTCTATTTAACCATGTGCCAGGCACTGTGCTAGGAGCCTTGCGTGGATCAACTCATCCAATCCTCACCCTCAACCTAGAACTCGGAGGGCACAGAATAGGCACAGCCACAAGGCTGCTGCTGGAAAGGACGACACAGGCAGATGCAGGCCGGGATGGGTGAAAGGGTCTCTCAGGGAAATGAACTGGAGTCGGGTCTGGAAAAGCAGCAGAACGTGCTCCTGGCCCTGCCACACACCTGGGTCCCAGAGCTACATGGAGCTGACTGCCACCCCTGTCTGCAACCCTGGCCTTCCCCGCAGGACGCCTGACAACTTCCTTCCCCTGGCCTGCTGGCTAGAAACCCCTGCAGGCAGATGGCCTTTCTGACTGGCCCTCTCCTGGCTACTGCAGCCTCACCGGAGGGCCAGGCCCAGGCCAGGGCAGCTCCAAAGGTGGGCTCTGGACCGGGGTCCCCCTGAGCCAGGCAGGGGCTCCCCACGGGAGACAGTGCCAACCATACAGGCTGCGGGTGCAAATTGAGCCTGGGGAAGGAGAGGCTGATCCCGGTGATCAGAGGGGGTGGCACCAGCCTCAGCCATGCAGGTGTGAATTCCTTCCCCCAGCCTGAGACCAGTGCCACACCCCCGCCCTCTCTCCCCAGGCTCCCCCATGGATTACCCTGCCTGACACCCCATGCTGGCAACCAGAGGCTGATTCTGCCTGACTGCCCCCAGCTCCTGGAGTGTGCAGCCTGGGTTCCAGAGGGAGGCCATACGGCCCCGTCAGAGACCACCAGGGAAGTATCACAGACCGCAGCCAGCGTGTGAGCTCAGCTGGGAGTTTGCACCAAGCCTGGCTCCAGAATGAGGCCTGACTGACGCAGGCTAGGTCCACCCTGCATGGGCCGGCTGGTGTGGGTAAGTCCTGGGGCTCAGAGAGGGGCTTGGAAGGCCAAATGCAAGGCGGCTGGACCCATTATCGCAGCACATAGCGTCCCCTTGACTTGCTGGGAGAAGCTCGCGCCCTCATAGTTAGCAATTCCATGGCCACTGGAGGCCAGAGTGGGAGCTGGGAGGCTCTGGACACCATAGCCTTGGGCCCCAGCCCTTGCCGGGCTGGTGTTGGCCTGTAAATGCTGCTTCCGCTGTTCAAGCGCTGATGCTCCTCCACGCTCACAGGTCAACAGCTGCTGCCCACCTCCAAGACCCCCGAATGCTGCACGGCAGGTGGCCTCCCGCATCCCTTCTGGGCCCTCCCTGTGGGTTAAGAATGTCACCCCTGCCAGGGCACCTGCCTCCCCAGGCCCACAGCTGGGCTCCTTTCACAGACGCCGTATCTGGACAATCCATTTGTTCTGTGTCTGATCAGAAATGGCCATAGCGAACCAGCGTGCGTCTGACCTGAGACACCCGGCTTCTGGGCACCTGGGGATGGTGGAGCCAGGGGAGATGCCGCGGGTCGGAGGGAGGATACAAAGCTCCAGGGTGCCCCCTGCTGCCTCTGGGGCGTTCTGCAGTCATGGCCAACATGGACTTGGACACAACCTGCTCCGATCTTCAGAAATATTATCCACAAGACCTGCTTTCTCCCAAAACGCATTCGGCTGCCCACCCATGGGAGGCTACAGAATAAAGAACATAAAGACATGCTCCAGAATACGTTCCGAATGCTTAAAATTTCCCCAACTCCCATGAATCTAGAGTCTTTGAAATATAGATCATTGAGTGTCTTTTTGATAACTGAAGTAAAACTGTTTATGTGAGATGCTTTTTCTCTGTAAATAACAACTCAAGAAGAGACCAGGAACTATAGTCAGAAGGGATTCTGGTCCTGGGGGTCCATTTCTTGCCTGTGTGGTCTAGGTGGGTCGTGGTCTTCCAGTTTCTGCCCCTAAATCCATATGTGATCAGCTCCACCTCATGAGGCTGTCACAATATTTCACAAGGGAAATGCACGAAAGCACACTTTTAAAGCAGTGTACCAGTTGCTGTTTTTAATGTCATTATCCATCAGGGAATTTTAAACTTATCTCCCAGAGGCTTGACTGGATTGAAAATGTAAGGTCTATTTAATGAAAATTATCAAGGAAGTTCCTGGGGAAAAAAAACTTAGGCGTAGTCAAGTATTAGTCAAGCCCCAGCTCTGCAGTTCAAATAAAGCACAGAATTTAGAAGTCGTATGCGTGAATTCCATGCCAGGCCTGCCACTTATTGCCTGTGTCCCTGCACAAGACACTCAGCCTACCTTTGTTTTCTCATCCATAAAATGGAGCTAATACTGTTCACCGAATGAGATGAGGTGAGGACTGGAAATAATGCCTGATGTACAGTGGGGGCTGAATACAAGGTTGGTTCTTTTTTTTTTTTTTTTTTTTTTTTTTTTTTGAGATGGAGTCTCACTATCACTCAGCCTGGAGTGCACTGGCGTGATCTCAGCTCACTTCAACCTCCACCTCCCTGTTTCAAGTGATTCTCCTGCCTCAGCCTCCCAAGTAGCTGGGATCACAGGCTCGTGCCACCACGCCTGGCTAACTTTTGTATTTTTAGTAGAGCTGTGTTTTTGCCATGTTGGCCAGGCTGGTCTGGAACTCCTGATCTCAGGTTATCTACTTGCCTCAGCCTCCCAAAGGGCTGGAATTACAGGCGTGACCCACCACGCCTGGCCATACAAGGTCGGTTTCATCCCTGAGTAGATCCCAGAAGGAATTCAAATCTGTATCATCTGTCATTGGTTGAATTGTGCTTCTTGAAATTTGCATTGAAGTCCTAATCCCCAGACCCCAGAAGGTGACCTTATTTGGAACCAGGGTCACTGTCCATGTGAGGAGTTCAGATGAGGTCATACTGGAGTAGGGTGGGCTGAGATCCAGTATGAATGTGACCTCACAAAAAAGGAGAAATTGAAACAGAGACACACGAAGAAACAACACCATGTGAAGATGAAGGTAGAGATTAGGGTGATGCTTCTACACACCAAGGAACTTGAAGATTGCCAGGAAGGCCCCAAAAGCAAGGTAAGGGGCCTGGCACAGGTTCTCCCTCACTGCCTCAGAAGGAATGAACCCCACCAACCCCTCTTCTCAGACCTCTAACCTCCAGCACTGTGAGATGCTACATTTCCCTTGTTTAGCCACCCAGTTCGTGGCATTGCGTTAGGGCAGCTGTGGCAAACTAATACATAATCCGAGAAAGACTGTCACACATTTACTATCTTTACTGCTGAAGAATCCTTACCAATGGGCCCAGGCCGGGCATAGTGGCTGACGCCTATAACCCCAGTACTTTTGGTGGCCGAGGAGGGTGGATCACTTGAGCCCAGGAGTTTGAGACCAGCCTGGGTAACATAGTGAGACCCCATTACCACAGTAGAATAAATAAAATTAGCTGGGTGTGATGGCACACACCTGTGGTCCCAGTTACTCAGGGCACTGAGGTGGGAAAATCACAGGACACGGGAGGCTATAGTCAGTCGTGATGGCACCACTCCACTCCAGCCTGGACAACAGAGGGAGAGCCTGTCTCAAAAAAAAAAAAAAAAGCCCAGGAAGGTAGGGTCGGAGCCTAGACAGACTAGAACCCAGTTCTCTGGATTCTTAATTCTGTGCTCTTTCCACTACCCCTGACAGTCATGTCTTAGGCGTTAACATGATTGACCAGGTGCAGTGGCTCACACCTATAATTCTAGCACTCTGGGAAGCCAAGGCAGGCAGATTGCTTGAGCCCAAGAGTTTGAGACTAGCCTGGGCAACACGGTGAGACCCTGTCTCTACAAGAAAATGCGAAAACTACCCAGGCATGGTGACGCATGCCTGTAGTCCCAGCTACTCGGGAGGCTGAGGTGGGAGGATTGCCGAGCCCAGGAGTTGGAGGCTACAGGGAGCCATGTTCACACCACTGCATTCCGGCCTACTCCCTAAAGATATGCAGTAGACACAGGAGGAAGCACGTCTGTTCAGATTTTTTCCACGCATTCAACTCATGATAACAACACCAGAATCAGACCACATATACCACTTTGCAACACGTTTTGTTATTGTTTTATCATGTTTGTTTTGCTTGACATTATATAGACGACATCTTTACAAGTAATAAGTATAGTAAAGATACACAAGTAACATAACCCATCACCTATTGATGAATTTTTTTTTTTTTTTTTGTGAGATGGAGTCTTGCTGTTGCCCAGGCTAGAGTGCAGTGGCGTGATCTCAGCTCACTGTAACCTCCGCCTCCAGGGTTCAAGCAATTCTCCTGCCTCAGCCTCCCGAGTAGCTGGGACTACAGGCATGCACCACTACGCTCGGCTAATTTTCTGTACTTTTAGTAGAGATGGGGTTTCACCATGTTGGCCAGGCTGGTCTCGAACTCCTGACCTCAGATAATCCACCCGCCTCAGCTTCCCAAAGTACTGGGATCACAGGCATGAGCCAGTGCACCTGGCCCTTGATGGACATTTAGATTGTTTCCCCCTTTTTTTTTTTTTTTTACTAACACAAATAATACCGCAGAAAATAGTCTCAAGTAACTTTGCACATTTGTATCTTTTTTTTGTGTGTGTAGAATAAATGCCTAAACATGCCAAATCTGTTTGTGATGGTTTTAAATAACCTCTGCAAATTATTTGATCCTTCTCCCATTAAAAGTGGAGTTTAATTCTCCTCCCTTTGAATATGGGCCAGTATTTGTACTTGTTTCTAATAAACAGAACGTGGTAGAAGTGGCACAGGGTGGCTTCTGTGGTTAGGATAGAAAAGGTGACACAGCTTCCACCTGGCTCCCTCTTTGTCAGTTCCTCATCCTTGAAACACAGCCACTTCACATTGGAGAGAAGCCCAAGCCACACGGAGGGGCCCCAGCTGGCCGCCAGACCCACCTGAGGTCACAGCCGACAGCTGGCATCAACCTCCAGCCTTGACAGTGAATGAACCTTCGGATGGCCCAGTCCCGTCTCATTATTTTATACCGACATGATTTACCCTCAAAAGAAAAATGAAAGAAATACAAATTATAGCAATGTCATCTTTAGCAAGGACTGCTTGCAAGGTTGGCCCTTGGTTGGTATCTGGGAAATTGACTTGGGGAGTGTTCCCACCCTTCCCTGATAAGAACAGCTCACTGCCCCTAAACCGTGTAAACACTGTGGTTTATGTCTTCGTACTGGGAGTCCAGAATTTCGGTACATGCTAGGCAGAGGGTGCCTTTGTGACTAGCCTGCAGTAAAATCCTCGGTGCCAAATCTCTAGTGAGTGTCCCTGACAGATGACATTCCACATGTGTTGTCCCAACACACTGCTGGGGGAAGTGAGTGCGTCCAGCGTGTGACAGGGTCTTGGACCCTCACACTCCCTTTCCTCTGGACTTGACCCACGTGCCTTTTTCCTTTGCTGATTTTGCTTCATGTCCTGTTGTCGTAATACATCATAGCCTCGAGTATCACTGTATGCTGAGTCCTGCGAGTTTTCCTAGCCAATCGTCAAACCCAGGGTGGTCTCAGAGACCCCAACACGCCATGGCAACAAGACTACACGGAAGCCGGCGCTTCCTGTATGTGTACACATTGCTGGTGGTACCTGCATGGACACCATGAGAGCAACACAGCCTGTCTGTTGAAAGCCACTCAACGTCCACTTCCTCTGACTCAGTAATCCCATCGGGGAATGTGTCCTGTGGCAACAATTCCACAGCAGGAAGCAGAGGCTTGAAGACCCTTATCACAGCTGGTGCTAAACCTGAACAAAATCTAAATGTCCAAGAAGAGAAAAATTTAGTTAAACACATTATGGTGCATCAACTCTAAGAAACTGGCTACAATGAGATGTGTAAAGCTTATAAAGCACCTGTGGTCCCAGCTACTTGGGAGGCTGAGATGGATCCCCTGAGCCCAGGGAGATGGAGGCTGCAATGAGCTATGACCATGTCTGGGTGACAAAGTTAAGACCCTGTCTCAAAAAAGAAAAAAAAAAATTGTAAAGAGAAACATGAAAAGATGTTGCTGATACATTAAAAACAATTTTTTTGGCCAGGCATGATGACTCACGCCTGTAATCCCAGCACTTTGGGAGGCCAAGTTGGGCAGATCACTTGAATCAAGAGTTCAAGACAAGCCTGGCCAACATGGCGAAACCCCGTCTCTACTAAAAATGCAAAAATTAGTCGAACATGGTGGCGCACGTCTATAATCCCAGCTACTCAGGAGGCTGAGACGGGAGAATCACTTGATCCCAGGAGGTGGAGGTTGTAGTGAACAGAGATCGTGTCCCACTGCACTCCAGCCTGGGTGATAGAACGAGACTCTGCCTCTAAATAAATAAATAAATAAACAAACAAACAAACAATTTTAAGCTGAGTACAAAATGGTGGGCACATTGACAGCAACTGTAGAACCAACAGTTAGACCCAAAGCGGCTACTTATAAGTGAAAACGGTTGGGGCTACAAGAGGACGGTCGGAGCAGATTTTTCCATAGATAAATTGGGCCTTCCTTTAATGTTGCTGTTCTGATGAACCGGGAGCTTTCTGGGGACTTGGCGGGAGCAGCTGACAAGGCAAGAATTGTGGCGCTGGATGCTTCCTCTGCGGTCACCGCCTGGTATGACGCCTCCAAGGTGTGTGCGCGCGGGAAGGAGAGAGAGGGTAGTAAAGCCAACTTTTCATCCAAAAATCAGAGGCTTCGGGGACAAAAGGGACAGAAAATATCCCCTGCAAATTAAAAAATGCAGACACGCATTTCCCCTGCCTTCACCTCCCACGGATCCGCCCCTTCAGCTCTCTCCCGCGGGCTCCCAAGCTCCGGGGCCCCTGGGCTCTGCGCCCGCGGAGCTGGACGGAGCTCGGGACCCTCCCTCGCTCCCCGACCCGGGAAGGGGCGGGGCCGACAGGAAGTAGGCGGGGCTGGCTCGCAGGGCGGAGCCTCGTCGCGCTCTGCGAATCGCAGGTGTCCTTGCTCCCGGGCTGGTGGGGCCACACAGTGGCTGCCTGGGCTGGAACGTTCTCCTCGCCCAGCTGAAGGCCCTGAACTTGCTAAGCCTTTTAGGGTTGAGGAAAACCCATTCAAAGACAACTCCAGCAACCTCCCAAAGGCAGGGATTCTTGTGCTCCCCTGGAAAGTCTCATGTAAAGTTAGACCACAAAATGTGGGCTGTGCCCTGAGCCCTCGCTCAAGGGCACAGAGCAAGTCACTGGCAGAGCAGGGACTGGAACCCGGTGTCCTGATCCCCAGGTGAGGCCAGCCTTAGAGCTGCGGGAGGGGCAGGGCGGCGTGGGTCCTCCCAGGCTGGGGCTCACTGAGGCGCACCCAGAGTGAATTTGGATGTTTTTCCAGGGATAAGGACATGTGAAAAGAGACTGGCAGTGACTGACCTGGACTGGCAGGTGAGGTGTTTTTTTCCCCTCAACATTTTATTTTGAAGTTTTTCAGACACCCAGCATATGCCCACCCATATGCCCACCACCTAGATTCTACAGTTACGTTGTATTGTATTTGCTTTGTCACCCATCAGTCCAGCCCTCTATCAACTCTCGGTCTGAAATGGTTTTTAAATTATATTTTAATTTTTAAGAACCAATCTCCAGCCGGGCGCCATGGCTCACACCTGTGATCCCAGCGCTTTGGGAAGCCAAGGTGGGTGGATCACCTGAGGTCAGGAGTTCGAGACCAGCCTGGCCAACATGGTGAAACCCTGTCTCTACTAGAAATACGAAAGAAATTAGCTGGGTGTGGCAGTGCACACCTGTTTTCCCAGCTACTTGGGAAGCTGAGGCAGGAGAATCGCTTGAACCTGGGAGGCAGAGATTGCAGTGAGCCAAGATCACACCACTGCACTCCAGCCCCGGTAACAGAGTGAGACTCCGTCTAAAAAAAAAACTCAGTGGAGATATTTAGCCTCTACATACATCAGGAACTCGATCAGTCGTGATGGTTTGTCGCAGATGCCCTTGCTGGCCTTTTTTGTCCTGGTCCCTGTGTCTAGAGCCTGTGGCCAGGGCTGGAGGTATCTGAGCAAACTGCATGGCTGTTCCCAGCTGCTCGGGGCTACAGCCTGCAGTCAGCCTGACAAAGCCTCCCAGGACACATTGTCCTCTCTAAAGACACTCACCGGGTGTCTTTAGAACCCAGCTGCTGGGGGTTCAGGGAAGTCAGAGCCGCTGCTCCTTGGGCATGGCAGGAACCTGTCGTCGCGGTGCAGGGAGCACAGACACCTCCATGGGAGCAGCACACAGCGGCCCACCCTGCCACGCTCCTGCTGCGCTCATCTTTACCAGGAAAATTTAAGTCACTAGATGCCAGCCTGTGTCATCCCAGCTCTGAGGGGAGGGACAGAGGACAGACAGAGTCCCAGGCTTGCAGCTCTGATTCTAGACTAATGTTTTCCCAAAAGGTCACACCCCTCAGCTCCATCCTCACGCAAGTGTGGGAAGACAAAGCTGGCAGCTCTTTCTGGCCTGGCTCTCAGCCCTGTCTTCTCCACGCCAGCCCTCCACCTGAGCCCGGTAGGGGCTTCATTGCCATTGCTTACCCACACCATGGCAATGGCGACCTCACCTGTTTCTTACCCCTTTCCTGATGGTTCTGTTCCCTGCAGTTCCGTTGGGGCTCACAGCCCATCAGTATCTCCCCACTGGGTACAGGATACAGTGGAAAACACCCCGGGGCCTGCCCCCATGTGCCCTGCCACCCCCGTCCTTGTCTCCTCCCCTACATCTCCCAAAATGCCAGGCTCTCTCTTGCATCCAAGCTTTTGTGGTCACCCCAGTTTTTCTACCTGGCAAGTCCTTTCACCTGTGAAGTCCCAACTCCTTGCTGCCTCCCTCACAGAAGCAGAATCCAGCAGGGGCACACAGGACTGGCCACAGTGCCCTGTGGTTCACTGGCTGCCCTGCTGCCCTGCACCCCAGGCACTCTGCACAGGCCTCTATTCATCAGGGTTTTGTCTGCACTTAGCTCTTCCTGTACAACGATAGGAAGCAGCGGCCCAGCTGAATGGACCCACAGAGAAGCTGCGTAGAAGGAACTGTGAATCTGCCAGCACCTACCGGAACGGCACGAAACCCAGAGAACCGGAAGCAGAGAGTGCAGGAGGCAGAAGTGATGAGAGCAGCGGGCATCCCTGGAGCTCAGCTGAGCCAGACCAGGAGAGGCTGCCACGGAGGGAGCCTGGCTGCACCCAGTTAGAACAGAAACAGGGCTGAGGGCTCGGACCGTGAGCCCTCAGGTTCTCCCTGTTCCCTTCAGCTGGTGACTGTGTGACCGTGGGCGGTCACTTAATCTTGCCGGTAAGGTCCTCAGTTTCCTCATCTGTAGAATGGCGTTGGAAAGGCATGGCTGGGAGGTCTCAGACATAAAGCAGAGTGCTGTGTGAACGCTCCGGGTTTACAGACAGAGCGGATGTTCCTAGTGCATTGCACTCATTTTCCCTCGCCCGACAGAAGCTCATGACCTCCGCCATTGTTCCCAAACAAGCAGGAAGCTTCACACTGATGCCTGATCCACAATTCCCAGAGCGCCCTCAGGGCCACCATCTCGTGCAAGCCTCGCAGCATCCACGAGGGGGCAGCACAGGACTATCATCGCCCCACGGCCTGAAGGCGGCTGCCGGAAGCCAAGTGCGACAATGGTAGGGGTGGCCCCCAGGAGCCCCGGCTTCGCTCCCTCCTCCTCCCCTACCCTGCTCGGAGGACTCCGGCCTCGGGGTAGGGGGCTGCTGAACTGGGCGTGGCATCTACTCAAGAACTCTCTGCCCCCCAGCCCTAGGGCTCAGATCACAAACACACACACACACACACACACACACCCGCACACACCCGCACGCACACACGGGGCCCGCCTCTTTCCTGGGAGCTGCCCGTTCCCAGGACAACAGTCAACACAGGCGGGAGTTCAAAACAAAACTGGGCTCAAATGCTCTCCCCATCGGCCACTCTGAGCTCGAGGCCTAAAGCGACAGTGAGGAGGACCCTGCCCAGGCTGTCCCGGGGTTAGGAGGGAGAGAGTGTTCCAGGAGGAGGTTTGAGCTGAGCTCAGGCACAGGAGTCTCTCTCTGTCTCTCTCTCTCTCTCTCTCTCTCACACACACACACACACACACACACACACATGCACCCATGGGGAGCCACCCCACCCCTGGGCTCCAGAGAACCACATCACCTGGGCACCGATTGTCCCCCACCAGGCCGCCAACCTCTGTCTCCCCAGCTGCCCGGATTGGCCCTATGGCCAGCAGGGGTCTTGCTGGTGGCTGTCAGGCCCCCCAGGCTCTGAAGGCGCAGCGGGTGGCCCAGGGAGCTGCCTGCGGTGGCGGCGTGCAGCAGGACCAGCTGTGGCGGGAGCTCCTGGAGGCCGAGCGTCGGGGCCAGCGGCGCTGGTGAGTCCCTGCCCTCCCTTCTCCACCCTGACCCCCGCAACCTGACTACAAGTTGGGGAAACTTTTGGAGAAAGGGAGATGGCTGGGCAGCTGATCCGGGCTGAGGGACAGAGAGCATGGCATGCCCGGGGGGAGGCGGGTCACCGGCCCAGCCCAGAGCCAGACCCGAGCCTGAGCCTAGGAAGCCAGGAAGATGGAGGCCAGGATCAGATGCGGCTGGGTCCGAGCAGCCCCGCCTCCCTGGAGCAGGAGCCTGCTGGCCTAGTCTGGGTGAGAGGCGCTGGCCATCTGACCTGACTCTGGGAAAGATGCTCCTTCATGCCTTCATTCAACCAAAAATCCCCATGAGCCGCTCTGAAAGGAGACCAGATACAACAAGGGACTGACCTGGCCATGGCTCCACGGAGCCTTCATACTCCGGACAGGGCAGCCAAAAAGCAAGCAGAAAAGCAAACAAGTACAAATCTGTAAGAAATGTGACCAGCGGTAAGAAGGAAACAACAGTTCAGGGTTAGGGGGAGAGCCGGCTGAAGGCCTCTCTGAGGAGACTTTTAAGCTGAGACATGAAACAGGAGAAGGAGCCAAGAGTTTGACGTATCTAAAAAAACAAAACAAAGAATTCGTGTAGCTGAGGCACAGGGAGTGAGGAAGGCCACAGGATAAGGGGGAGCAGCCGGGGGGGCCACCCCAGCCCTCGTAAAAGTCTGGATGCATTTTTTCCAAAGGAGACACCATCCAGGATTTTAAGCAAGAACATGGCATGATCTTTAAGCAAGAACATAGCATTTTTAAATGAGCAGCCTGATAGATTCTAGGAAGCGCTCATCTTGCACTGCTGAAACTTCATACCCGTGGATTAGCAACGCCCCATTCCCCCTCCTCCCAGCCTCTGGCACCCACCATTCTAGTCTTTACTCCCAGGAGTCTATTTTCAGTGCCTCACAGAAGTGGAATTGTGCAATATTTGACTTTCCATGTCCGTCTTGTTAGCTTAGCATCCTGTCCTCCGGGTTCATCCATCTTGTCGCGTATTACAGAATTTCCTCCCATTCTAAGGCTGAATGTATATATGTGCAGTTTCTTTATTCATTTGTCAATGGACTTTACGTTGCTTCCACATTTGACTGTTATATGTATTGCTACAATGGACATGGGAGTGGTTTCAATTCTTTTGGATGAATTCTCAAAAATGGATGTCTTAGTCCATTTTGCATTGCTGTCAAGGAACACCTGAGGCTGGGTAATTTATAAATAAGTTTATTTGGCTCACCGTTCTGCAGGCCGTACAAGCATAGTCTTGGAATCCACGTGGCTTCTGGTGAGGGTCTCGGGAAGCTTACAATAATGGCAGAAGGTGAAGGAGGAGCAGGCGTGTTGCATGGTAAGAGAGGGACCCAGAGAGAGAGGGGGAGGTTTCAGGCTCTTTTTAACAACCAGCTCTCTCCTGTGAACTAATAGCGCAAGAGCTCATTCATTACCGCAAGGAAGGCACCAAGCCGGTCACGACCCAAACACCTCCCACTGGGCCCTACCTTCAACACTCGGGATCACATTTCAATATAAGATTTGGAGAGCACAAACACTCAAACCATATTGGAGGGATTGCAGGATTATATGCTACCTCTATTTTTAATTTTTTGAGGAACCTCCATTGTCTTTTCCATAGCAGTGGCACCATTTTGCATTCCCATCACCAGTATCTCAGCATTCCAGTTTCTCCACACAATGGCCAACACTCATTGATTGTCTTTTGGTTTTTGATAACAACCATCCTAATAGGTGTGAGGTGGTATCTCATTGTGATTTTTTGTTTTGTTTCGTTTTGAGATGAAGTGTCCCTCTGTCGCCCAGGCTGGAGTACGGTGGCGTGATCTCGGCTCACTCCAACCTCTGCCTCCCAGGTTCAAGCAATTCTCCTGCCTCAGCCTCCCAAGTAGCTAGGATGACAGATGCCCTCCACTACTCCTGGCTAATTTTTGTATTTTTATTAGAGACAGGTTTTTACCATGTTGGCCAGGCTGGTCTTTTTTTTTTTTTTTTTTTTTTTGAGACGGAGTCTTGCTCTGTCACCCATGCTGGAGTGCAGTGGTGCGATCTCAGCTCACTGCAAGCTCCGGCCAGGCTGGTCTTGAACTCCTGACAGCAGATGATCCACATGCCTCAGCCTCCCAAAGTGTTGGGACTACAGGTATGAGCCACCGTGTTTGACCTCTGTGGTTTTGATTTGCATTTCTCTGATGATGAGTGACATTGATAATCTTTTCATATATTTATTGGCCATTTATTTATCTTCTTTGGAGAAATGTCTATTCAAGTCTTTAACCCATTTTTTCAATTGGGTTATTTGGTTTTGTGCTACTAAGTTGTAGAAGTTCCTTATACATTTTGGAAATTAACTCCTTATCAGAAATATGATCTGTAAATGTTGTCTCCCATTCTGTGTGTTGCCTTTTCACTTTGTTGCTTGTTTCCTTTGCTCTTCAGAAGTTTTTGAGTTTGATGTAATCCCATCTGTCTATCTGCTTTTGTTTCCTGTCCTTTGTGTGGCATATCCATGGAATAATTGCCAAGCCCAATGTTATGAAGCTTCCTTCTATGTTTTTGAGTGGATTGGTATGTATCATGTTAGAAAGGATCCAATTTCATTCTTTTGCATATGAAAAACTTCTGCACAGCAAAGGCAACAATTAACAGTGAAAGGCAACAATTAACAGAGTGAAAAGGCAACCTACAGAATGACAGAAAATATTTACAAACTGAGTAAATGTGGGAGGAAAGGTGAGGAAGGAATAAAGGATGACAGGTCTCAGCTTGAATGATTAATAGGGAGGAGAAGATAAATGATGAAGATGCTGAGTTCTGGTGAGTTTTAAATGCCCGAACCACGTCTAGATAGAGCTGCCAGGAGGTAGTTGAGTGTGAGAGTGAGGAGTTGTGCATTAAAAACCCATCCAGAAGGGGAGAATGAGGACTGACTGCGAATGGACACAAGGTGTTTTGTGGGTGATGAAATGTTCTGGAATCAGAAAGTGGTGATGGTTGCCCAACTCCATGAATATATTAAAGTCATTGAATTGTGTGCTTTAAAAAGTGAATCTTATGGAATGCAAATTCTATCTCAGTTTTAGCAGGAAACGAGTGGGCATTGGCCCCAGCGATGTGAATAAGCTCTCCCCGGAAGAACACAATGGATCAGAAGAGGTGAGGATGCAGGACAGAACTTGCAACGTTTACTAGAAAGGCAGAGATGCTGCCAGGAAACACCAGAGAAGAAAGCCAGGGGCATAAGGAGGTGTAAAGACCAAGGGGAAAGAGTTTTGCAAGGTTTGGATAGCCCAAAGAGGAATGTGTAAGGCAGTGCTGCCTGACAGAAATACAATGTGAGCCAGACACATAGCTTAAATGTTCTAGTGCTGCTTTAAAAAATGAAACAAGAGGTCGGGAACAATGGCTCACACCTGCAATCCCAGCACTTTGGGAAGCTGAGGCAGGCAGATCACCTGAAATCAGGAGTTCGAGACCAGCCTCGCCAACATGGTGAAATCCCATCTCTACTAAAAAATACAAAAACTAGTCAGGCATGATGGCATGCACCTGTAATTCCAGCTACTCAGGAGGCCGAGGCAGGCAGAGTTGCTTGAACCCGGGAGGCAGAGGGTGCAGTCAGCTAAGACTGTGCCACTGCACTCCAGCCTGGGTGACAGAGTGAGACTCCATCTCAAAGAAACCAAAAAACAGAAAGAACTTGTAGCAATAAAAATATATAAAGTTGAAATATAAGACACAACTGAAGTCAGACTTCATAAACTCAAGACAGGAGAAATTATTCAGAAAATCAAGACAGAAAACACAAATGACGAATTAAAAATGTAGAGAAACTGAACAAGAAGCTCCAACCTATCCTTAATCAAAACTCCCAAAGGAGAGAATGGGAGAGAGAAAATGTCTAAAGGGAAAGTAAGTGAGAATTTTCCAGAACCAAAGAAATGCAGGAGTCCACAGATACTAGAGTAGGTGCTCCACAGAAACAGGTGCATTAACAAGAAAATAAGACATGGAATTCCCAAAGAGGGGGATGCCAGCGTGTTGGTGAAGGAAGGGACCAGCCTGTGATCTTGAGGCACGGCCAGGCCAGTGGGAGCAGGAGGACACGGGGCTTCCGAGGAGGCTAAGAAAGGTTTTAAAGGAATGTTTATTATCTGATGCACATGACAGTGTAGAAAATAATATTGAGAGGGACTTTTCAGTTTTATTGGAACATCTGGAATCAATGATCAGTACATAGAAGCCTAAAAAAAATTGGGAGGAAATGTAATTTCTCTGTTAGCTCTAGAAAGAATACAAGGTTATACAAGAACAGAATTGGGGTATATTGCACTCCTTAGTTCATCAGGGAATAACATTTACATAACCATAAGAATCAAAATGACATATATCAATTTAACCAAGATCTGTAATGATTTTGAAAGAACAAAGGGAAGGGCAGGAGTAAGAATGCTAACTCTTCATCTCCTATAATAGGAAGTCGATAGATAAGTTTAAATTTTAGAAAATATTAAGGAACAGCAGTGGATATAGTTTGGATCTGTATCCCCACCCAAATCACATGCTGAATTGTAATCCCCACTGTTGGAGGTGGGGCCCGGTGGAAGGCGACTGGATCATGGGGTCGGTTTCTCATAAATGGTCTGTACCATCCCCATGGTGCTGTCCTCACAGTAGGGAGTTCTCACCAGATTTGGTTCTTTTAAAGTGTGTGGCACTTCCCTTCTCTCTCTCTTGCTCCTGCTCTGGCCATGTGACCTGCCTGCTGCCACTTTGCCTTCCACCATGATTGTAAGTTTCCTAAGACGGACCCAGAAGCTAAGCAGATGCCAGCATCCTGCTTCCTGTACAGCCTGTGGAACTGTGAGCCGATTACACCTTCTTTATTTTTATTTATTTATTTTTTTCAGATGGAGTCTCACTCTGTCACCCAGGTTGGAGTGCAGTGGCTCGATCTCTGCTTACTGCAACCTCCACCTCCCGGGCTCAAGCAATTCTCCTGCCTCAGCCTCCCTAGTAGCTGGGATTACGGGAGCCCACCACCATGCCTGGCTAGTTTTGTATTTTTGGTAGAGACAGGGTTTCACCATGTTGGCCAGGCTGGTCTTGAACTCCTGACCTCAGGTGATCCACCCACCTCGGGCTCCCAAAGTGCTGGGATTACAGGAGTGAGCCACCGCGCCTAGCCTACACCTTCTTTATAAATTACCCAGTCTCAGGTATTCTTTATAGCAAGGCAAGAATGACGTAATACAGCAGTAGAATCCTATTATTTCAAAATACGGACGCAAAGGCCTGAAGAAACAGCTAAAAGGCTGGCAAAGGTTTGACGCTAAGATGTGAGGCTCAGGGGCTGTGAGGAGGGGGACAGAGAAGGCTGTTTTTATTATGTTTTGTAGAATTGTTTGACTTTTTAAAATTAGATTCAAGTAAAACTAAATGACCAGTGCAAGGTAATACTATCCTTATGGTCCCTCCCTTTTCCTACCCCTCCCTAGCCTTCCTCTGTCACTCACATTGGAAGGTTACAAAGGTTTGGGGACGTGAAAACTTTTTTCTTCAGAGAATGCTTGCCTACTGTAGCCTTCTGAAAATGCACAGAGGCAGGGTGAGATTGTAGCCTTTGCTTGCTTAGGCAGTCCTACCATAGCAACGTCATAGTTGTCATTCTAGGAAAAGTCATTGGAAATTGAAATGTTTGTTCTTTTGGTGGGATGCACCATCAATACCTGCTTGGCACTTGGCATTTGTTTCACTTAAAAATTATTTTGTTCTGGCTGGGCATCGTGGCTCATGCCTGTAATCCCAGCACTTTGGGAGGCCGAGGTGGGTGAACCACCTGAGGTCAGGAATTCAAGACCAGCCTACAAATATGGTGAAACCCCATCTCCACTAACAATACAAAAATTAGCTGGGTGTGGTGGCACGCATCTGTAGTCCCAGCTACTTGGGAGGCTGAGACAGGAGAATTGCTTGAATCTGGGAGGCAGAGGTTGCAACGTGAGCTGAGATTGCACCACTGCATTTCAGCCTAGGTAACAGAGCGAGGCTCCTTCTCAAAAAAAAAAAAAAATCTTTAGTTCTTCCATGTGATACATTGTTGCATTGACTTGACACAGTGAAAGTCATCGGTAAAAATGTCCTAGAAGGAACTCACACAGTCAACATGCTTTTCCTTTCCAGGGTTCAGAACTGGAGTTTCCTGAAAGACTATGACTCAATGGTAAGGAAAAATATGTTCCTGCCAAACATACTTGCGATTGAATATTATTCATTCTTTCCATCATTCAACTGACATTTATTGAAGATCTACTCTGGACTAGATGCTGGATGTGCAGAGATGAGTAAAATACACTCTTGTTTCAAGGAATTGCATTCCTTGGGTCCATTGGAAAGAAAAGTTATATGAAGCATTTAGAAATTTGTTTCCTTCAGTGTTTCTTAGTTTTATTAAGATGAACCAATTAGAAATGACAGGCATCTGTTGCTGAAATGTCTCCCCTGACTGAGGATGTCAGCAATGTGTAGTCATATCTGTGTGGCGTGCCCAAGAAGGGGCAATGAGATTGGGTAAAAATACTTTGTAAACAAATTCCCTGACTCCAGTATCACCACCTGCAATCTATCCTCCACTTCGCCACCACACTGATTTCCCTAAATGGCAGAACTGGCCGTGTAGCTCCCCTGATTAAAATGCTTCAGTAAGTCTGAAGTTTTCAGGTAGCTTACAAAGCCTCCTGTGATCTAAACTATCTCCCCAGTCTCATTACCCACCCCACGCAGACCTCACAACACACTCTTTTTTTTTTTTTTTTTTTTTAAGATGGAGTCTCACTCTGTTGCCCAGGCTGGAGTGCAGTGGTGTAATCTCAGCTCACAGCAACCTGCACCTCCTGGATTCTAGCGATTCTCCTGCCTCAGCCTCCTGAGTAGCTGAGATTATAGATGCACACCACCATGCCTGGCTAATATTTGTGTTTTTAGTAGAGAGGGGGTTTCACTATGTTAGCCAGGCTGGTCTCGAACTCCTGACCTCAATTATCCAACTGCCTTGGCCTCCCAAAGTGCTGGGATTAGAGGCATGAGCTACCACACTCAGCCCCCACAACACTCTTTTATCCATGCCTTTGGGCATGCTGGTCCCCTGCTGGAATGTCCTTCCTACCTGGTCAGCCTGATGGACTCCTATTCACTCTTCAAGACCCTGCTCTAGTGCCTCCCTTTCTGGGGAATCTCCCTTTCCTGGGTAGGCTTGACCAGATCACTCCTTCCTTTGATTCACCAGCATATCTCACCCGTTATTTTGGTATTCTATGTAATGTAATACTGCAATGCCCAATTTCACCAGCTGTGAACTCCTTAAGAGAAAGGATGAGGCCAGGAATGGTAGCCCATGACTGTAATCCCCGCACTTGGGGAGGCTGAGGTGGGAGGATCACCTGGACCCATGAGTTCAAGACCAGCCTGGGCAACATAGGGAGACCCTGTCTCTACAAAATATAACATTATTTTTTAAAAAGAGAAAAGATGAATATGAATTCATCACTGCACCCTGTCACAACCCTAGCATTTGCCCCATCCCCCAGAGACCATAAAAAAGTGAACATTCAGTTCATGCTGGATGAATGAGTGAATGAAAAGATTGATCTCACTATTAAAAGGATGGTCAGCTGGGCGCGGTGGCTCACGCCTGTAATCTCGATACTTTGAGAGGCCAAGGCAGGTGGATCACCTGAGGTTGGAAGTTCAAGACCAGCCTGACCAACATGGAGAAACCCCGATCTCTACTAAAAATACAAAAATTAGCCAGGTGTGGTGGTGCATGCCTGTCATTCCAGCTACTTGGGAGGCTGAGGAAGCAGAACCACTTGAACCTGGGAGGCGAAGGTTGCAGTGAGCTGAGATGGCACCATTGCCCTCCAGCCTGGGCAACAAGAGCGAAACTCCATCTAAAAAAAAAAAAAAAAAAAAAAAAAAAAAAAAAAGATGGTCAAAGGACCAACCTGGAAGATAAGCAATGTGGACAGTCACTCGAGGGGGGTGGCCATGCTTACCTGGACCCTGCCAGGTTGAGGAAAGGTTTAATGCCTGCATTGTGGACCTGCTGGGCTTGTTGCTGTCTATTCTGGAGGGAAATTCAGCTCATGGGACCTGATATCCCGCCCTGTGCATCTGGTCTGGGCTTCCAGCCTGTAAGGGTCTCTCCCTCCTAAGGGCTATGTGATAGCAACCTGACTACTGAAATCTGCATCATGACCAGAGGGTGGAGCCACCTCAGCATGGACTTTGCCAGGTGAAAGCCAGGATCTCCTTACTTGCCAGGTCGTGTCACTTCTCTTAGACACAGGGTAGCAGAAAGGTAACCCTAAACAGGGGCAGGAAGAGCTGAGGATGTTTTCCCACTTGTCAGATTTTTTTTTTTTTTTTCAAAACGTGGTCTCACTGTCTCTCAGGCTGGACTATAGTAGCATGATCATGGCTCACTGCAGCCTCAACCTCCTAGGCTCAAGTGATCCTCCCACCTCAGCCTCCTGAGTAGCTGGGGCTACGTGCATGCGCCACCACACCCAACTAATTTTTGTATTTTGAGAGAAAGAAGCCAGACAGGAAAGCCATGATTTCACTAATGTAAAGTTCAAAACCAGGCAAAGCTAATGTGTGGCATGAGAGGTCAAGGTCAGGTTGCCTTGGGAGCAGAGACAGGGATTGAGGGGCTGAAAGGAGGCGGGGAGGGGATTATACCCCGTGATCTGGTTGGGTGCATGGGCATCTTCACTTTGTGAACATTTGTCAAGCTGGACAGTGAAGGCTTGTGCACTTTTCTGTGTGAATGTTATACTCCAAGTACAAATTTACCAAAAAACAAAAACAAAAATCAAAACCTCCCACCAGACGTAAAACGGCGTCTTAGTCCTGGGGTAGAAAGGGGAATGACACCTGATCCTTCCCTTGATCTCTGCAGGTCGCAGCATAAAAGTTAAGGGATCTGGGAGGCACCTGGGGAAGGGGAAGTGGAGGAAGAGGAGGGACAAGCTTGGCAGAGGCTGTGGCATCGGGTCACTCTTGGGGGATCCCATGTCCAAACCAGGATTGAATCACCTGGAGACGCTTCACACAGAGAGGCACCTGCTCTCTGCTCTGTTTTCTCCCATCCTAAGGTCCTCCTTTTTCCACGCTCTGTGTAATCCGAGCTGTCCCCTCTCCTCAGGGCAACAAGAAGGAGCCTGAGAAGTTGCCAGACCATGTGCCTCTCTTTTCGGACACAGTTCCCAGTTCCACAAACCAGGTTGTGGGTAGCAGGCTGGACACGCCCCTGGGACAGACTCTCATCCGCATGGACTTCTTCTTCACCGAAGGGGCCCGGAAGAAGAAGCTGGAGGATGAGATGCAGCCCATCTAGGAGCAAGGAGGGCTGGGCTGGCCTTCCCCAGGTGGGTGTGGGTGGGGACAAGAGATCCGGCCCACGACAGCACCAGTCAGCAACCCACACAAGGCAGCTTGGGTCTGCACTGCCTCTAAGCTGCAGGACGCTCTTCCGTTGGGCTCCATGGGGTCACTCTTACACACTTTTTACACGTGAGATTCAGAGGACTCAGTAACTGGCCCACGGCCATACAACCCCCAGCCTTTCCATCTTGAGAACCCATGGGTGCCCTATGAAAGGGATCCTGCATTGTGGTCAGGAGCACTGAATGCCTGGGTTCAAATCCAGCTCCTGGCTCTGATGAGCTGTGGAACCTTGAGCTGGCTGCTGCAACACTCTGTGCCTCCGTCTCCCCTCCTGCAATTCGGTGTGTTCTCTGCTTGCAGCTACTGTGACAAGTGACCACAAACTGCATAGCTTAAAACAACACAAATGTGTCATCTTACGGCTCTGAAGATCACAACCCTGACATGGGTGTCATTGGGCCAAAATCGACATGTTGCAGAGCTGTGCTCTTTTAGGAGGATCTGGGGAAGAATCTATTTCCACATTTTTTCCAGTTTCTCAAGGCAGCCTGCATTCCTTAGCTTGCAGCTCCTTACTCCATCTTCAATGCCAGCATCTTAGCATCTTCAAATCAGTCTCTATCGCTCGCTCTCTCCTGCCTCACTCCTTCATCTTCTCTCTCTCTCTCTTTTTTTTTTTTTTCCAGACAGAGACTCCCATTATCACCTGGGCTGGAGTGCAATGGCATGATCTTGGCTCACCACAACCTCCGCCTCCTAGGTCCAAGCAATTCTCCTTCCTCTGCCTCCTGAGTAGCTGGGATTATAGGCATGTGCCACCATGCCCAGCTAATTTTTTGTATTTTTAGTAGAGACGGGGTTTCTCCATGTTGGTCAGGCTGGTCTTGAACTCCCAACCTCAGGTGATCCACCTGCCTCAGCCTCCCAAAGTGCTGGGATTACAGGTGTGAGCCACCGCACCTAGCCATACCTGGCTAATTTTTGAAATTTTATGTAGAGATAGGGTCTCACTAGGTTGCCCAGGCTGGTCTTGAACTTTTGGGCTCAAATGATCCTCCCACCTTGGCCTTCCAAAGCACTGGGATTACAGGCATCTGGCTTCACTCCTCCATCTTTTAAGGACCCTTGTGATTATATCACAACCTTCATATTTAAGCAAAAAATGCAGAAAAGGCTTAGTTCCTCTTTGTTGGTTAAAACACAAATGGTTTCATTCTTTCAAACATTCGCATTCTCCTCTTCTTCCTGGGCGCTCTGCTAGGCTGTGTTTTCCCTTGGTTTGGGTGGAGCATGTGACAGAGCCATGGCCAGTAGAATGGGAGCAAAAACCCTAGGTCTCCCTTCCAGGTCTGGTCCATGAGACACTCCAGGTATTGGCTTGTTCTCCTTTCCCCATCAGCTGAAGAAGGGAGAGGACTTGGAGGATGCAGGGAAAAGATGGGCACAAGATGGAGGGAGCATGTCAGGCCCACGCCTGGAGCCCTGAGTGAGCTCATGGAGCAGAATCTCCCTACACCCACACTGACACACAAACAAAATAAACAAAAACTGACCAAAATGAAAACAATAGCCCACACTTCTAGGGGAAAGCATTTTAAATGTATTTTCTCAACAACCTAAGGGAATCATATTCAGGGATTTTATATTCATTTAATACAGGCAAAACGTGAGATTCAGAGAGGTGAAATAAAATCCCAAACATACATTAATGCCAGGCCTCAAGCTTGAAGCCCAGTGTCCTCTGCAGGACCTCAGCCATGGCCTCCAGAAAAGAGAGAAAAATGGGGCAGGGGCTGAAATGACTGCTCTGTCTTTGATGCTTGCTTGGGTCTTATTTGGCAGTAGCTAAATGTCACTGTTATTTGCATGAACTAACTCATTTAATCCTCTCAGCAACCCTATGAGATAGATACTCCTATAAATGAGGCAACTAAAGCACAGAGAGGTTAAGTCATTTGCCCAAGGTCACACAGCTGGCAAGTGGTGAAGCTGGAGTTCAGACTTGGCAGTTGAGTCTGGCTCCAAGGACTATATACTTAAGCACTATGCTATATGGGTCCCCTTTAATCCTCAATAAATTGATTCCCCCAAATTTAGCAAATTACAGGATTTTTCTGCTTAAAGAAAGTCACTTGATCCTTAAGAAAGGGAAAACTGATTTTTTCCAATCTCCGGGATCCCTACTACCACCAAGAATAGATCATTGGTGTTTCCAGGTACACAGGACAGGACACATTATTTCCATGCAACAGCCCCTACGCCTCATGCCACACCCTGGCCCTGCGTGACTGTGTGATGGAACAGACCAGGCCCAATGTGACTTGGCCAGGAAGAGGCCCAACCCTTCCTACTTGGATCTGGAGGCCACCGCCTTCTTTCTCAGTGTCTGACATGAAAGCTGGGCTCCCTCTCCACTCTGAGATCATCAGCTGGGCAAAGATCAGTGGCCAGGATAGCCAGGGGTCCTGGTCACATCCTGGCAGCATCCCATGAAGGTCAAGTGCTTGCCCTCGGACTGGGTGGGTACAAAGATGCTGGAGGCTCCTTAAAGACCCAATCTATGTTTTTGCCCTGAGTCTGCCTTATATTATTCTCACACTCAAAATCAAGATTTCCATTTGAGAGAGAGAGAGGCACTAGAAAAGTCGAGGTTAAGGATGGCTGCAGTTGGTCAGGCCTGTGCAGAGGGGAGGGAATCGTTGAGTGCCCAGGAGGGCAGTGAGGAGGGCCATGGACCTGTGCCAGTTCTGCCACTCCTGGAAGCACAGCCACTTACAGACAATGTAACCTATAAGCACAGACTCTGGGCTTGGCACATTACCAACATTGTGTCTTTTGCATGTATTATAATTGTCACCATTTGAGAGGTTTGGAAACTAAGCCAAAGACTTCATTCAATCTGGTCAGGGTCTCACAACTAGTGAAGGGCCAGGATCCATCTCATGTGTGACTTCTCTGTGCTGCCTTCCCCGCTCCAGGCCTCAGTCTCCACAGTTATAAAATGAGGGGAGAAGGGAAGAAGACAGATTTAAGGGCATCTCCAGCTCCAGGATTCTCTTCTTTGAGCATTCAGGGAGTACTGAAGAAAAAAGGGGTTTGAATTCTTTCACAGAGTGCATTAGTCAGCTATGATAATGCTGTATAACAAAACATCCCCTTTGTTGCTCACAGGTCTGCATGTAGCTGGGGCTCAGGTGATTTTGGCTGGACTTGGCTAGACTTTCCTCCACATTTCAGGTTAGGTTCAAGTATTTTGTGCATGTCTCTCATTCCCTTGGACTGAAAGCCTCCTGGGGCATGATTTTCTCATGGCACATCACCAGGGCTCAAGGGCTCAACAGAACTGTGCAGGCACGCTGAAGGCTTCTGCATGCAGAAATGCTTTCTGTACTCTGCAATGACCTGTCATCACACCAAAACCCTCCTCACAACCAGGCCCACCCACTCTCTGCTCCTTGCCACATCTGCCTTCTTTTCAAGAAGATGCCTGCTTCTAACCTTCCCCATTTCACCCACTGGGAGCCCAGGAAACCAGGACAGACGGGCATCTGCAGTGAAATCCCAACGCCAGCCTTTCAGCTCGTTTGGGCCAGAACAAGGGAGGGTGGATGGGCTAGGAGGTCACAAAGAAGTGGGCACCAAGCCTCAGTGTCAGTGCCAGCAAAAGGAAAAGGGGGTGTTACCAATAAAGAGATGGGCACTTGGAGACCAAGGACCAGAAGACAGCTGGGCTTCAGGAAAAGGACTGGAATCAAGAGCTGAGAGCCGTAACGAGCCTGGAGGGGCACTTGCTTCACTTTTTTTTTTCTTTTTTGAGATGGAGTTTCACTCTTGTTGCCCAGGCTGAAGGGCCATGGTGCCATCTCGGCTCACTGCACCCTCCGCCTCCCAGATTCAAGCAATTCTCCCACCTCAGCCTCCTGAGTAGCTGGGATTACAAGCATGTACCACCACACCCAGCTAATTTTTGTATTTTTAGTAGAGACAGGGTTTCTCCATGTTGGTCAGGCTGTTCTCGAACTCCTGACCTCAGGTGATCCACCTGCCTCGGCCTCCCAAAGTCCTGGGATTACAGGCATGAGCTACCGCACCAGGCCATGAAAACTATTTTCGATTGAAGAATGCAGAATAAACGATAATAGAAAAATCACCATTTAATGACTCACAGCAATAACTGATTTAGGCAAGAGTCAATAAAAGACATTAAAATGACTGAAAGATTCTTAGGGAATGGTAAATGCTGAAATCTAGAAGATACTGCCTTAACCAAACTATTAAGCCAAACCTCACCAATAACAGGACAGCTGACACTGTGCTCCCCTGGTGTGGTTCACTGAAAACAACGCTACCTACTTCACTGAGGAAGCACTCCTGCCAAAAAAAAAAGTAACTAGAGTGTAATCAGGAAGAAACTCTCAGCAATCCCAAATTGAGAAACATTCTGCCAAAGAGTTGGCCTTGATTCTTCAAAAATGTCAATGTCTGCCCAGGCGCTGTGACTCACACCCATAATGCCAGCACTTTCGGAGGCTGAGGTAGGCATATGGCTTGAGCTCAGGAGTTTGAGACCAGCCTGTACAACATGCTGAAACTGCATTGAGAGGTGACAATGTGCTAGCAGCCCTCACTCTCGGCGCCGCCTCAGCCTGGGCATCCACTCTGGCGGCGCTTGAGGAGCCCTTCAGCCCACCAGTGCACTGTGGGAGCCCCTCTCTGGGCTAGCCGAGGCCGGAGCCAGCTCCCTCTGCTTGCTTGGGAGGTGTGGAGGGGGCCCCTGCCCAGGGCAGTGAGGGGCTTAGCACCTGGGCCGGCAGCTGCGGTGGTTGCACCGGGTCCCCCAGCACTGCCGGCCCACATGCACTGCTCTCAAATTCTCGCCGGGCCTCAGCCGCCTCCCCACTGGACAGGGCTTGGGACCTGCAGCCCGCCATGTCTGAGCCCCCACCTCTGCGGTGGGCTCCTGCGCGGCCGACACCCCCTGCTCTGCGGCCGGGTCCCATCAACCACCCAAGGGCTGAGAAGTGCGGGCACACGGTGCGGGACTTGCGGGCAGTTTGGCCTACAGCCCCGGTGCGGGATTCACTGGGTGAAGCCAGCTGAGCTCCTGGGTCTAGTGGGGACTTGGAAAACCTTTATGTCTAGCTAAGGGATTGTACACAGCTAAGGGATTGTAAACGCACCAATCAGCACTCTGTGTCTAGCTCAAGGTTTGTAAATATACCAATCAGTACTCTATATCTAGCTAACCTAGTGGGGACTTGCAGAACTTCTCTGTCTAGCACTCTGTGTCTAGCTAAAGGATGTTGGACGCACTCAGCACTGTGTCTAGCTCTGGGTTTGTAAATACACCAATCAGCCCCCTGTGTCTAGCTCAAGGTTTGTAAATACACCAATCAGTAGTCTGTATCTAGCTAACCTAGTGGGGACTTGGAGAACTTTTCTGTCTAGTATTCTGCGTCTAGCTAAAGGATTGTAAACGCACCAATCAGCACTCTGTCAAAATGGACCAATCAGCTCTCTGTAAAATAGACCAATCAGCAGGATGTGGGTGGGGTCAGATAAGGGAATAAGAGCAGGCTGCCGGAGCCAGCAGTGGCAGTTTGCTGGGGTTCGCTTCACACGCTATGGCAGCTTTGTTGTTTTGCTCTTTGGGTCCCCACTGCCTTTAAAAGCTGTAGCATTTGGGAAGGTCTGTGACACTTCTCCTGTCAGCGAGACCACAAACCCAGCAGAAGGAAGCAGCTCTGGACACATCTGAATGTCTGAAGGGATAAACTCCAGACACACCATCTTTAAGAACTGTAACACTCACTGTGAGGGTCCGTGGCATCATTCTTGAAGTCAGTGAGACCAAGAACCCACCGATTCCGGACATAGCATCTCTACTAACAAAATACAAAAAAATTAGCCAGGTGTGGTGATTCATGCCTGTAGTCCTAGCTACTTGGGAGGCTGAGATGGGAGAATCACCTGAGCCCGGGAAGTCAAGGTTGCAGTGAGCTGTGATCTCACCAGTGCCCTCCAGGCTGGGTGACAGAATGAGACCTTGTGTCAAAAAATAAATAAACGTCAATGTCAGAAAAGTCTAAAGGAAGGCTGAAGTGATTCAGTCCGTGATCCTTGACTGGATCCTGGGTCACGAAAAGCAGCTCTAAAGGACGCTTTGCAGATAAATGTTAGCTAACACTATTGTATCAGCAAGAAAGTGCAGAGTGTGGTGATTCCATTGAGACTGCAGAAGAAAGCCTGTGTGTGTGTGTGTGTATGTGTGTGTGTGTGTGTGTTTTAAGACAGTGTCTCACACCATTGCCTAGGCTGGAGTACAATGGCACAATCTTGGCTCACTGTAACCTCCACTTCCTGGGTTCAAGTGATTCTCCTGCCTCAGCTTCCCGAGAAGTTGGGATTACAGGCATGTGCCACCATGCCCAACTAATTTTTTGTATCTTTAGTAGAGATGGGGTTTCACCATGTTGGCTTAGCTAGTCTCAAACCCTTGACCTCATGATCCACCCACCTCAATCTTCCAAAGTGCTGGGATTACGGGCATGAGCCACTGTGCCCAGCCGAAAGCCCTTGTTCTTAGGTGTTTGCCGAAAAGTGCCATGATATATGTAAGAAACCTGCAAGTAGCTTAACGAAAAATTCGTGTTTAGAAATTTTTTTTTTGGAGATGGAGTCTCGCTCTGTTGCCCACGCTGGAGTGCAGTGGCACGATTTCGGCTCACTGCAAGCTCCACCTCCCGGGTTCATGCCATTCTCCTGCCCTCCAGGCCCTCCCTGGAGGTAGGCTGGGGGACTAACCAGAGGCGGCCCTGGCGCCATGCCCCCGCTAAATTATTTTTATTATTTTTTTTAGTAGAGAACTGTTCAAAAGAGACGGTGTTTCACTATGTTAGCCAGGATGGTCTCAATCTCCTGTCGTCGTGATCCACCTGCCTCGGCCTCCCAAAGTGCTGGGAGTACCGGCATGAGCCACCACACCCGGCCGGATTTTTTTTCTTTTGAGACGCAGTCTCGCTCTGTCGCCCAGGCTATAGTGCAGTGGTGCCATCTTGGCTCACTGCCACCTCCGCCTCCCAGGTTCAAGCGATTCTCCTACCTCGACCTCCAGAGTAGCTGGGATTACAGTCACCCGTCACCATGCCTGGCTAATTTTTGTATTTTTGTAGAGACAGGGTTTCACCATGTTGGCCAGGCTGGTCTTGAACTCTTGACCTCACGTGATCTGCCGGCCTCCACCTCTCAAAGTGCTGGGATTACACGGTGTGAGCCACCGTGCCCGGCGGTTTAGGAATTTATTTTAAAATGAAGGTGGGAGAATGGCCACTGTGAAAGAAAAATAAATCTCAACTCCAAAATCACTAAGCTAAGGAAAAAGTCAAGCTGGGATCCTGCCTCCCATTTTAATTCCTGAATAAGGTGGCTATAAAGATAAAAAAGCTACATGCCTCCCTCACAATTTGCCCACAAGGGAATTCCTTGTGGGCCTCAAGATCTTTACCCTATTCAGGATCATGCCAAGAATTAAATATATATATATATATATTTACCGTGAAACAGTTCTGTTGCATTTCACCCTGGCAATGTAAACTGATAGCTGATCTTAACAGGTGCAGGACAGAAAAATCATTCCTCTGCTCACCCAAGAGAAATGCTTATCTGATTGCTTCCTCAGACCTACTGTTTATGTAAAAATGAAGAGTCACTGAGCCAGACTAGATTATGTATTCACTGAAAGGCTGATGAAGGACTCAAAAGAATGCAAGCTTTTGTCTCTTATCTACCTATGACCTGGAAGCCCCCCTCTTCGACCTGTCCTGCCTTACTGGACGGAACCAGAGTATATCTTACATATATTAATCCATGTCTCATGTCTCCCTAAAATGGACAAAAGCAAGCTATACCCCAACCACCTTGGGCACCTGTCATCGGGACCTCCTTGGCAAAATAAACTTTTAAATTGGTTGAGACTTGTCTCAGATATTTTGGGTTTACTGGCACCACCAATGGCTCTTGAGTTCACATCTCCTCTGTTGAAGAGTGGGGAAGTGAGGTTGGGGGAGGTTTGGAATCAGTTTCTGCTCAACTCCATGTTCCCACATGAAGGTGTAACCACCTAAAGAGCTCACCCTACCCTCTGCCTAGACAGAGCCGATTTATCAAGACAGGAATTGCAATGGAGAAAGAGTAATTCACACAGAGCCAGCTGTGCGGGAGACCAGAGTTTAATGATTACTCAAATCAGTCTCCCTGAGCAGAGCATTCGGGGATGGAAGTTTCGTGTTTTTGTTTTTGTTTTTTTGTTTTGTTTTGTTTGAGACGGAGTCTTGCTCTGTCACCCAAGCTGGAGTGCAGTGGCATGATCTCGGCCCAATGCAACCTGTGCCTCCCGGATTGAAGCGATTCTCCTGCCTCAGCCACCAGAGTAGCTAGGATTATAGGCGTCCGCCACCACGCCTGGCTAATTTTTGTGTGTTTAGTAGAGACGGGGTTTTGCCATGTTGGCCAGGTTGGTCTCTTACTCCTGACCTCAGGTGATCCGCACACCTCGGTCTCCCAAAGTGCTGGGATTACAGGCGTGAGCCACCACGCTCAGACTGGGAATGGAAGTTTTTAAAGATAATTTGGCCGGTAGGGGCTTGGGAAGTGGAATGTGCTGATTGGTCAGGATGGAGATGGAATCATAGGCGGAGTGGGGGGGTGGGGGTCGAAGTGAAATTTTCTTGCTGTCTTCTGTTCCTGAGCGGGGACTGCAGAACTGGTTGAGCCAAATAATTGGTCTGGGTGGTGTCAGCTGATCCATCCAGTGCAGGGTCTGCAAAATATCTCAAGCACTGATCTTAAGTTTTACAATAGTGATGTGATCCCCAGGAGCAATTTGGGAAGGTTCAGACTCTTGCAGCCAGA